CATTATGTTTCCTGCTCCTGAAAGTAATGACTTTATGAAGAAGAGGTCATATAGTGTCCAGGGCCTGGCACTTCCAGGAGTGTCTCTGGTGTGTGCTGTGTGCACTCTGCTGTTGTGTTTTGACTGCTCTATCCTTCAGGTCAGTCATCTTCAGAGGCTCTCCTTGCCTGCAGTGAGCAGTGTTTGGTCCTTAGCCAGAATGTGGTGAGTTTTAACTAAGTTTCCTCTGGTGTGCTTGTTAAATGAGACCTGATGCTACTTCCACTAGAACCAAATCCTTGCCAGACTTTCGGGTTGGGAGACGTGGTGTGGTCAGGGGATTTCTTTTTTTTTTTTTTAATGATTTTTTTTTAAGATTTTATTTATTTATTTGAGAGAGAGAGAATGAGAGAGAGCACATGAGAAGGGGGAAGGTCAGAGGGAGAAGCAGATTCCCTGCCGAGCAGGGAGCTTGATGTGGGACTCGATCCAGGGACTCCAGGATCATAACCTGAGCTAAAGGCAGTCGCTTAACCAATTGAGCCACCCAGGTGCCCTGGTCAGGGGATTTCTGCTGGTCATCTGGGGAAAGGGCCCGCTGTGCTGGGACTGAGGTACACTTGACCAGCAGTACCAGTAGAGCACAAGGGAGTGGGACCCAGTGTAAGCAGGTTAGGCAGCCTGTGTCAGTGCTGTGCTGTTTACTGAAGGTGGTTCCATGTTTATGCTGAGAGGCAGGGGAGGAAAATGGCACCCACCAGCTGTTTTGTCCCCAGAGAGGCTTCTCTGTGAATACCACTTCTCACAGATGTGCTCCAAGGAGAGAGAACAATCTCCCACTCATGTGCCCCAGGCGTTCCTCAGATCATGCAGTCTGTCCCCTGGGTTACCTGCCTGCCTTCTCTCCAGGAGTAGGGCAGTGCCCTCGGGGCTCTAGTCCAGCCAAGACCGCCAACCTTTAAACTCTAGTTTTTGAGCCCTGCGAGTTGCAAAAACTCACGAAAATCATCATCCCTTCTTGTTTTCCCAGTCAATAACTTTAGGGAAGTATTCTCCTTGTGCATATCCCTGTGCACTCCACTCTCTTGCTTTCTCCTCAACCACAGCTCCCATCCCTCCACAACATCTGCAATCTGTCTCTTCCCTAAATCACATCTCTGCACTTCCTACCTTCCTTGATGTGGACCCCCTTTCTTCTTCTAGTTGTACAGTTTGTTCTGTCAGTCCTCATGTTGATTTCTTGAGTATTCCAAATGATCTGATAGTTATCTAGTTGTGTTCGAGGGATGAGGTGAGCCTAGGATCCTCCTACTGTGGACTTTGGGCAGTTTTATTATAATGTTCCTCAGTATAAGTATCCTTGGGTTTTTCTTAGTCGAAATTGTTTGAACTTCTTTAATTTGCATGTTCATTTTTTTCCTCAACTAGAGAAATTTCTGGTTATTTTTTCTTGAGAAAAACTTTCTGACCCTTTCTCTCTCTCTCTTTTCCTTCCAGGTCTCCAATAATGTATATATTAGTCTGCTTATTGGTGCCACTCTTAGGCTATCTTTAATTTTCTTCATTTTTTTTTCTTTTTGCTCTTTTCACTCAATAATTTCAGTATCTTCAAGTTCACAGATTCTTCCTTCTGCTTTTATGAAGTCTGCTGTTAAACCTCTCTAGTGAATTTTTCAATTCAGTTATTGTATTTTTCAGTTTAAGAATTTCTATTTGGGTTCTTTCTTATAGTTTCTATCTTTTTATCGATATTCTCATTTTGTTTATGCATCATTTTCCTGATTTTGTTGGTTGTCTGTTCTCGTTTACCTTATTAAGCATCTTTAAGATAGTTATTTTGAATTCTTTGTCAGGTATAGCATTAATCTCTGGTTATTTAGGATCAATTTCTGGAGATTTATTTTGGTCTTTGGATTGGATCATGTTTCCCTATTTCTTTGTATACCTTGTGATCTTTTGTTGAGATTTTGGCATTTGAAAAACAGTCACCTCTCCCAGTCTTTATAGACTGCCTTTGTGTAAGGGAAGACCATGACCAATCAGCCCAGCTGGAGATTCTGGGACCTCTCAAAATTTCTCTGGAGATATGTCTTCTTTGAGTTTGTGCATGTGATTGCCCAGTTAAGAAGTCTAGTTCTGGGGTGCCCGGGTGGCTCGGTTGGGCGTCCACCTTTGGCTCAGGTCATGATCTCAGGGTCCTGGGATGGAGTCCTGCATCGGGCTCCCTGCTCCGCGGGAGGCCTGTTTCTCCCTCTCCCTCTGCTCCTCCCCCTGCTTGTGCTCGTTCTCTCTCTCTCTTTTTCTCTCTCTCAAATAAAATCTTAAAAAAAAAAAAAAAGAAATCTTGTTCCTATTTCTTTTCATGAGCCTGTAATCTCTTTCTCTTGCTGGTATTTTCCTGAGGTATTGCAGTCTCCGTAATGCTGCGACAACCTGATGCTCGCCTTTCTTCTCAGTGGCTTCCAATCTGGGAAGCAGCTATGCCACTAGTTCACATCAGCACTTAGTCAAGTGAAACAGAATATTCCCTCAACAAGCCCTATAAAATCTTTAGACATATGTTCCAATCTTCTCTTTCCTTCCTGAAGGAAGGAGTAGGCATTGGGAATTTTCTCCCGATTGCACCATGCTGTGGGGTGGGTGGGGTGGGTGAGGAAGAAGCTAGGGCAGGCAAAATGCAACAAACTTTCCTACGCACTTCAGTGTGGCTCTCTTGGCTTTGTATTAGCCTAGGTGCTGCAGCCTCTTAGTTTTCTGGAGGTCTGACAGAAGCAATTTGATCTGTATATTGTTAAGTTGCTGTCTCTGTGGGGGACAAAGGGCTGGGGCTTCCTATTTTGCCATCTTACCGATGTCCCACCCTCTAGAGCTTTATTTTTAAGTATAATACAATGTGCTTTTTTTGGACTAAGAGCTAATTTTGCTCACTTTGCTGCAACTGAAAATTTACTTAACTTACTTAATTTACTTAAATTTCAATTGCAGATAAGTGATTGAATTGGGATATTGTCATTCAGCTTCACAATGACAATGAGAAATCATTATTTTGAGAAGATACATAAAGAAAAATCCAAAGGAACAGAGCTTTTATTTTATGTCTATATTTGTTGCTGCTGTTGTTTTACAGTCCTACAAACTTGTGAGCACAGACTCAGACTTTCTAGAGTCTTTTTTTTTAGATTTATTTATTTATTTGAGAGAGAGAACAAACATGAGCGGGAGGAGGGCAGAGAGACAAGGAGAGAGAGAATCTTAAGAAGACACCCCACAGAGCAGGGAACCTGATGTGGGGGCTCAATTCCACAGCCCCGAGATCATGACCTGAGCCAAAAATCAAAGGTGGACGTTTAACAACCTGAGCCACCCACATTCCCCAGAATTCCTAGACTCTTATCCAAGCTCTACCACTTCGTAGCTGAATGTTCTTGAGCAGGTCATGTAATCTTTCTTGCCACAGCTTCCTCATCTGTAAAATGAGAATAGTAAAATACCTTTCTTATAGGGTTGAGGATTAAATTTTATGCTGGGGGAAGTACCTGGCAGAGGATAAATGCTATGTAAGTACAGTTAGTTGACCCCTGAACAACGTGGGGGTTAGGGGTGCCAACCCTCTGCACAGTCAAAACTCCTGACTCCCCCAGAACTTAACTACTAGTTGCCTACCATTGACCAGAAGCCTTATTGATAACATAGAAAATCAATGAGCACATATTTTATATGTTATATGTGTTATATATTATATTCTTACAATAAAGTAGTCTAGAGAAAAGAATGTTGTTAAGAAAAGCATAAGAGGAAATATATTTACAGTACTGTACTATATTTATTTTTAAAATCCACATATAATTGGACTTTGGCAGTTCAAACCCATGTTATTCATGGGTCAATTATACTTTTTATTGTTATTGTTTTGATTCACACAGAAAAAAAATATTACCTGAAAAAGTGAATTTAAAAATTGCTTTTTAACTTGGGGAGAAGGAAATTGAGAATCTGTGAAAGCCACTATTGTTCTTTCCTCAGGAATTCTCTTATTTTTATTTATTTATTTTTTAAATTTTATTTATTTATTTGACAGAGAGAGACACAGCAGAAGAGGGAACACAAGCAGGGGGAGTGGGAGAGGGAGAAGCAGGCTTCCCGCCGAGCAGGGTGCCCTATGTGGGGCTCGATCCCAGGATCCTGGGATCATGACCTGAGCCGAAGGCAGACGCTTAACGACTGAGTCACCCAGGCGCCCTAGGAATTCTTTTATTTTTAAAGTGAACTCTATGCCCAACATGGGACTTGAACTCATGACCCCAAGATCAAGAGTCACATGCCCTACCCACTGAGCCAGCCAGGTGCCCCTTTTCTCGTGAATTCTTAGTTTTTTATTTATATTAAAGAAAAGAATATAAGTATAAAGAATAGTGAGACAACTGTACATTTCCAGTTATACTTTATGTAAGCTAATCTTGAAATTAATTTACTTTGCTTAGTATAAGTTAATGAAACAGATTCACCAAGAATAATGTGTGGCAAGGAAGAAGAATGGGTCGTATGGTATGAAAAACTGGTTACAATTGGTAGATGTTAATATTGTTAACATTCACTGGGCATTCTATGAGTGTCAATCATTGTTCTATGTACTTGTGGTTAGTTTTTCAGGTGTGACAACACATGTAGGAGTAGATATTAGTATTTTGCAGATGAAGGAACTGAGGCCCTATGTGTATAAACTCTTTGCCCAAGATCATACAACAAGTCATTGGCAGAACCAGAATAATCAATGCACAGATCATTGAGATTAACTTTTACATAGTGAAGAAAACAAGAATGTCATTAATTAGGAAATAATCTGAATTTGAAGGGAATTTAAATGTAATCTAGCTGAATCACTGAGATATTGGTGCCTATTTGATTTCAGATGACATTTTTCTTAAAGTTCAAGTACATAAATAACTGGATGCATAAAATTACTGCCTGACTACTTCAGAGGGGTTGTTTTTTTACACAGTACGTGTCTTTTTATTTTTCAGGACTCAGTTAATATTGTCAAGATAACTAGCCATTTTTCTGCAAATTGAGGTAAATATTCCTACTTCTTAAAGTAATCTTTCCTTTTCTTTTAATTTGTATGTGCTCATTTATTTTTTTTAAAGCTGCTTATTTATTTATTTACTTATTTATTTTTCTTTTTCAATTATTTATTTTAAAGTAAGCTCTACACCCAACATGTGGCTGAAAGTCATGACCCTGAGAACAAGAGTAGCATACTCTACCAACTGAGCCAGTCAAAAGCCCTGATAATCTTTCCTTTGAACTGATGTGTTACTAGTAATATGTCATTTGAATGATCTGTCCTTTTAAAGAGTCCTTGTAATTACTTCTGAAAAATCCTAACTTCGTGTGTGTGTGTGTGTGTGTGTGTGACAGAGAGAGAGAGAGAGAGAGAGAGTGAGAAAGAGAGTCATTCTCAACTGAAGGCGATCCCCCCATCCAGGGGATATTAGGCAATGTCTGGAGACATTTTTGACTGTCACAACTTGGTGGAGAGTGAGGTGCTACTGACATTTAGTGGGTTGGGGCCAAAGACACAGCTAAATATCCTACAGTGCACAAGACAGCCCCCCACAACAAAGAATGTTAATAGTATCAAGATTAGAAACCCTGATGGGTGTGTGTGTAGTATGTATGTATATCGATGTCATTCTAAAATACAGGGATAAGAAATTTTTAGATGATACTTTGTTTTCAAATGCAAATATTGAATCTTTGTCATTCGATTATAATTGTTTACAAACACACGGACACTTGAAAAGATTTTATAAATATGTACTGAGCACCTGTTCCTTGCCAGGTACCATGGTAGTTACTAGAGGTGGACATCATTCCTGCCATCATGGAACGGAGTATATCCTCCCCAACATCTGAACATTGAAGTTTTTATCTGCCCAAATTACACTATTTCAGAGACTGATATTTTCCCCAAAAAGAGGGAAGAAAATTGGCTGTAGACTGCCTCAAGATACAAATGCAAAATTGAATTAAATCAATTAAACGGCTCGTTGTTGGCTTGAGTAGGTTGCCGGAAAATGTTGGAAATGTCAAGCCACTGATTTTTCTTTTTTCCTTTAGGTAGTAAAGTTTCACAAATATCATTGCTGTTACTAAAAGCAGCTGTCTCTTAGGACATAGTGGGGCATTACATTTGGAATTTTTAAAATGGTCTCTTCTAGTCCTGCTTTTTTATTTAGTGACACTGTTATTGTTATTCATAATATGGCAGAGTTAGCCTTATGCATGAATGAAATGAGTCCAGGAACTTAAAAACACTCAAAATATCTATTGCCATCATGCCTGAAACTCCAGCACTTGAGAGGAGTACCTTTATGTTGGGCATCCTGCCCTTAAGAGTTTTTTTATTAAAATGCAGTTACTCCAGAAAGAAAGAGAGCAGGAGAGAGAATGTACCAAGAACTAATGTTTGTAAAAGATTTTATTTTAAAGTTTACTGCTTTGGGGAATTAAAAAAGATATTCATTGACTTGAAAAGATATGGGGGGATGGAAAGCAGATTACCAATTATGAAGTAGTAGCTACAATATAAGATATATAATATATATAATACATATATGCATACAATGTGTGTAGTATGTGGTATATAGTACATCCTGACTGGCATGATTATAGGTGATATTTATTATTTATTTGCTCATACACAAATAATTTGTTTCATTTACAGATACTACTGGCCCTATTTGTCAATTTTTTTATAAAGTTAACATTTCAGGTCAAAAAAAGAAAGCACTGAGGCCTCCCGTAGGTTTAGGCTCAGAATGCTCCAGAGATCTGGGGTGGAGTGGGGAGAGATGTCACATTTTAGCAAAAGAGAACACGTATGGCCCAGGAAGGGTCTATCACAGAATCTCAGAGATCCAACTCTTGACAAATCTAATGTAAAATTTTACATATATTTGCACTGAGCAGGCCATGGAACTTAACAAAGGCTATAATGCACAGCTTGAGATTGTGGTGTTATGGTGTGACTCTGTTTGGAGTTTGGAGTCAGAGAAGGCTTTCACTACATGAGAAGCCGATCACGAGACTGTATGTTTGGCAGCCCGTGGTTGCACTCTGCTCAGCATGAGCTGTGAATACACAAACGCTTTTTCAAAATCTATGACATACTGAAAAGATTTCATGCTCAATATATGCAACCAAACCAAATGCACAGACATGTGCCAAACAATCCCCAGCCCTCCTCAAAGAAAGACTACAAATAGACACACTTCTCACCAAACTGCTTTTGTTGAGAAGCATCTGTCTAATGGCTGACAAGTTTGCTAATGACATGCTTGATTCAAAGAAATGTAACATCAGAACTTCAGAATATAGCTATGTTTAAATTATAGCCCATTTTTCAGGTAATAGCTTATAAATTCTCTGAAATAAATAGTGAAGATTGTTCTCTGTTTTGGTGCAATTGTATACGATGTTTTATTTATTTTTCCAGGCGTATGTTGAGCACCTGCTATGTTTCAGCTATGCTAAGTTAAAAGACACAAAGGTGAGTAAGTTATGATCTGTGGACACAGGACTTAGAGTTTTGTGAGGGGAACCAACCTCTATGGGATGCTTATGATGCCGTGGAGCACAGAAGAGGGATGCTGGACATGAAAGAGCCCAGGGTTCTGAAAAACTGCTAATAGTTCTAAAAGATTGAATTGGATTTCCACTTCTGACCCAGATGGATTGAGAAGGAACTGGATTTACCTTCCTGGCATCTGAAACAACTTTAAAAACAGGAAGAATATAGAAAACAACTGTTCTCAGGCACTGCATATCAGGCAACAGAGGACAGTGATCCCTGAGATTGGGAAAATAAATGAGGTGAGCCCTGTGATTGTCCTAGCTTACTGCCTGGGAGAGAGTTTCTGGTGTGCGATTAAGAGAGTGGGAATCTGGGGGCGCCTGGGTAGCTCAGTCAGTTAAGCGTCTGCCTTCGGCTCAGGTCATGATCCCAGGGTTCTGGGATCGAGCCCCACATCGGGCTCCCTGCTCAGCGGGGAGCCTGCTTCTCCCTCTCCCACTCCCTCTGCTTGTGTTCCCTCTCTCGCTGTGTCTCTCTCTCTGTCAAAATAAATAAATAAAATCTTTTAAAAAAGAGAGAGAGAGTGGGAATCTGTGTGGGCCGCGGGTGTCCGGGGAGGCTCTGGCATCTTGACTTCTCAGGCAGAGTAGCAGGGAGAGGAGTATTGCACAGGGAGAAAGTTCCGAAGACCTACAGAAGGCCCCCAGGAGTCTTCAGCTGAGTACTGATCAGCACCTGAGTATGGAGAAACTACTTAACTCCCTATTGGAGCAGAGGGAATATCCCTTGAATGAAAAGCCTTGTACTTTACAGGGCATTAGGGAGAGTATTCAAAAGAGCATTGCCTCAAGTAGTGTGGCTAAATTAGCTCTGAAATAAAGGCTGCCCATCCTGCCTAACAAAGCCTGAAAGAAGCTTTGAAAACATCAAACTATTTCCAAGTGAATTAACCGCTTCCCAGAATAAAGCTCAAGGAAATATTTATAGAGATAAAAAAAAATTGCACCTAAGAAGGTAAAAATCACAATTTCTGGCATCCAGTGAAAAAGGACCAGGCATGCAAACAAGCAGGAAAATGCAATGAATAATGAGGGAAAGAAATCAATCAATAGAAACAAACCCAGAAATGATGCAGATATCAAAATATACAAAGATAGAATTAGTAGACTAAGACATTAAAGCGGTTATTATAACTTTATTCCATAAGTACAAGAATCTAAAGGAAAGATTGAGCATGTTAAGTAGAGAAATGGAAGGTATTAAGAAAAAACTGAACTTTTAGACATGAAAAATACATCTGTGGTGAAAAATATATTGGATGGGCTTGATAGAAGATTAGACACAACAGAAGAAAGGAGCAGTTAAGTTGAATACATAGCAGTAGAAACTAAAATGAAGCAATCAGAGAAAAAGTGTTGAAAACAAAATGACCAGAGCATCAGTGAGCTATGGGACAACTTCAAGCTGCATACATTATAACTCTGTACCTGAGGCCAGAGTTGATGGATTTATGGGTGGACACCTTGACCAAGGACTTTCTCCCTTGGAATTTTGAATTTAGAACCCAAAGAGAATCAAGCCAGTCTCATTCAGTGTGACTGTAATAAGAACATGGAAATCTTCATTGTTTTTCACCAGGTAGACTGAGAAGCAGAAGTTAGTCTGTAACAAGGGAAAAAAGATACAGAGGAAAGTAGAGATATAATCTGGAGAGAGAAATCATCAAGATTTCCAGGTCCTAGATCCAGTTTTGTTTGTTTGTTTTTTGGGGTTTTTTTAAGATTTTATTTATTTATTTATTTGACAGAGAGAGACACAGCAAGAGAGGGAACACAAGCAGGGGGAGTGAAGAGGGAGAGCAGGCTTCCTGCCGAGCAGGAAGCCCGATGCCAGGCTTGATCCCAGGACCCTGAGATCATGACCTGATACTAAGGCAGACGCTTAACGACTGAGCCACCCAGGCGCTCCAGTCCAGTTGTTTCTGAGCTGAGTTGTATCCCTATCTGTTCAGCTGTTTCTTAGATTCCATGAGATTTTTTGCCACATATAATGAAAAAGGTCTTAAATTATATAGAGATGATGCATTTGATTTTGGACATGTTAAAATGTTATTTGATTTGTGGATGCATGTTTGGAGTGTCCATGGAATATTGATGTGGAAATATCAACTAGGTAGGTGAATAGACTTTTCTGAAGCTCAGAATAGAAGCATGAGCCCCAAATTTACATTTTGATTCTACAGAATAAATAGAGCACCTAAATCTATAAGAGTTTACCTAAATCCATGGGATTATATGAACTCGAAAATGGAGAATATATAGAGGGAGATACAAAACCAGTGATGGAACCTGGAAAACAAGCATATTAAAAAGACAAAAAGAGCATCCAGGGAAAGACTGAGAAAGAATGTTTACCAAGTTAGGGTGAGAGCTTGATGTTGAGAAAATCAAAGGAAGGGAGAATCTAAAGAAAAGAGAAATCAGTAACACTGTCAGTTTCCTGAAGGACCTAAGACATTCCTGACCCTTGGTTGGCTTCCTCCATTTCTAAGCTTACTTCCTTTTTTCTGCCCATATTTACCACATATGAGTCCGTATTTCCCTGTTTCTGACCTCAACATGCTAACTTAACCATAGTTATGAATCTCTTTTAGGATAGTTTGATTTGGGCGATCTTAACCCTACATTATTCTACAATACCTAATAAGGATTAAAGACCCAATCAGAGCAGATCTACAGGAACGAGCTTTTCCCCCAAAAGACAATTGTATGGCAGTATAACAGGGGGAGGCAAGGAAGGAGCTGGAGAAAAGTTATTGGTTTCCATAAGAGGAAATGAGGCCTCATCAGTTTATTAAAGTTCTTTTAGGACGCACAAATGCATATGGAGAAAGCTCATGAATGGCGTCTATTTAGATTTTCAAAAAGGCTTTCACAAAGTTCCACACAAAAGGCTATTTTAAAAATTGAGTCATCATGGTATGATGGAGACTGGTGTAATGCACAGGGAAGTTGCTTAGAGACAAGAAACAATGGTTTAGGATAAAAGGGCACTTCTTGGAGGAAGAAGTGTAAACATGGCATTCCTCTCTAACTTGCTTTGTTTAATATTTCTATTAGTAATTTGGAGGAGGGAAGACATAATGACACTAAGTTCTTCCGAGTATGAAAAGCTCAAGTATGTGGGGATAACCTGAAGTTAGCATGAGGCTATGTGAATAGGCTGAAAATATTGAATTGAATGGGCAAAAAAAAGTATTGAACTTAGACCAAAATACTCTAAAGTGTACTGAGAAGATTCATGTACTCATTCATTCATTAAATGGTTATTGAGGATCAATTATGTGGCCAGATATTATGCTACAATTTTGGGAGGAAATTAATAATTAAGAAGGCACTTCTTCCTGCTTTTAGAGAACTTAAATACAATAAAAAGGTTTTTCCTGAATCTTGGGAAAAGTAAATTCAAGGTGAATAAAAAAGTAGTTCACTTAATAGGAAACACATGGAGCTTAGGTTTCTAAGAGTTAAGCTGAGAAGGTTGAAAAATATAAATAATCTCAATATTTAGATAATTTCATAAAAGACACTGCTGTGTTGGTATTGTTAAGGTAACTTAGAATATTTGGAGCTACATCCATAACATCTGGATATATTAGCGTATTAGGACCATTTGTGTTGGAAGTGACAAAATTCAAATCAAAACTAACTTTAAAAAAAAAAAAGAAGGTAAGCCTGGCTTTAGGGGTAGCTGGGTATAGAGAGGCAGGAGATGTTATGAGAACTTGGTGTAGCTCACTCATTTTCCACCTCTCAGCTCTGTTTTTTTCTGTGTGGTTTCATTCTAAGAATATTTCCACATGGAACAAAGGTAGCCTGTATATAAGTATGGGAGATGGAAGAAATTCCAGTTTTCAATGTTCTCCACCTATGATTTTAGGAAACGCTTTTTCTCCTAGCACCCATATCAGTTCCTGAAAAGAGACACCAAATGGCCCATCCTTGAACCACTCACTGTGGCCAAGAATTTGAAGTATTCTTACTGGCCAGGCCAGGGCACCACAGTGCCTCCCACAAAAGCTAGGTTGAAGGGGAGTAGTCAGACTCTCAGAGCCACACAGACTAAGAATGAGGAAGAAGTCATTTCCCAAAAAGACATTAGGCAGACAAAAAATTAGTGACAACAACTACCTACTTCTCTAAAAGATCATCATAGACCGATGACAGTTATGATAGGAGCCTTAAAGATACTCCCTCCACCATGATCCTCATCTTCTGGTATTCACACACGTTTGTAATCCCGTCTCTTTTAAATGTAGGCTGGATTTAGTGACTCACTTCTAAAGAAAAGAGTATGATAGAAGTGATGGTATGTCACTTCCGAGTTAGGTTATAAAAGACTGCAGGTTCCATCTTGGATGTTCTGACTCTTTCTAGCTTTTCCTTTGATTGCTCACCCTGTGGGGAAGCCAGCCACTATGTTGTGAGTCAGTCCTATGGAGAGGCTCATGTAAGTGAGCTTGGAAGTGGGTTTTCTTGATAATAACCAGGTGTATGAGCTTAGAAGTGGATCCTTCCCCAGTCTAGTCTTTAGATGAGACAACAGACCTGGATGAGAGCTCAACTGCAACCTCATGAGAGACCTAGAGCCAGAGGCACCCAGCTAAGTGGTACCCAGATTCCTGACCCATGGAAATGGAAGATCATACATTTCTGTTCTTAGAAGCCACTAAGTTTGGGGGCAATTGTTAAACAGCAATAGATAACAAATACACTGGGGTTGATATAAGAAGGTAATATTTATGGTCTTATGTACAAATGACCAAAAATAGATAAATACATACAGGATAAGGCAAAAAAAATCTGTTAAAATGTCAAATGTGATTTCTGTCATTTTGAATATTGTCTGTGTTGAATGTGAAGAAAACTAAATTTCCGCACCTAGAAGAAACTATCAGGGATTATTTGTATCCATGAACAGACTGAATACATAGTAGCTGCATTACAGCTTATTTATTAAATTTATTTTTTTAAGTAATTTCTACACCCAATGTGGGGCTCAAACTCATGACTCTGAGATCAAGAGTCCTGAGATCAAGAGTCGCATGCTCTCACATGCCAGCCAGGCATCCCTAAATTTAAATCTTAAATGGAGGGGCACCTGGGTGGCTCAGTCGTTAAGCGTCTGCCTTAGGCTCAGGTCATGATCCCAGGGTCCTGGGATCGAGCCCCGCATCGGGCTCCCTGCT